GGGCTCTAGGGCTATACGGACTCGAACCGTAGACCTTCTCGGTAAAACAGATCTTTCTTTATTTGTGACAAAAACTTTCTTTGGGATCAAGTCCCTTACTATGAAATTTTTTCTACAAAGTTTAAAATTGAAATATCTTCCATCTTTTTCCAATATATGACAAGCTTTATCTGGGAATCATCTCGTTCTTCCTTTAGAAGGTCTAAGCTCGTGTTAATTGCTTCTTCATTTTATTCTTCATCGTAACATATTCTTATTGCCATGTTCAATTATGATAAGGGCTTCTATCCCATAAGCTAAGGAGAAAAGATTTTCTCCCATAGCAGTTTTGGTGGTGGTGCAATATCCCGATAAAATTTGTGGCAGTTCGTCAGCCTATAATCCTCTTACAGTGTATAACTTTCTTTTTAGGATACTAAATATTTTTTTCTTTATTGCATCTACTTCTTCGTTAGCTTGAAGGTAATATGGATTAAAAAATATCTACAAATTCCTCATTCGTCACATATAGCTCTCAACTTTTTTCCTTGAAATTGTATGTACCATTTCTGATTCTATAGAGTATCGACAGATAATATTCTTTCATATGAACTTACAAGTATTAGCTTCAATGATGCTTGCTAGGAAATCTGCCTATATCCATTTAGTAAAATAGTCTATTGCCACGATCATAAATCTCATAGTAGATCTTCCTCTGGGCAATGGTCCAATGATGTCAATATCCATTTGCAAAGAGCCAAGGGTTGCTGCTCGTTATCAGTTCTTATATGTGTTGTCGAGGTATTGATGCAAATTTTTTACAATTTCACATTTTCTAGCAAAACTCATAAGCATCATTTCTCATATTAGGCCAATGATAACCTTGCTCAAAGGCTTTTCGTGCTAGGGAATGTCCACTGGTTTTATTCCATATGTACACTTATTTATTTCCTTCATCATATATATCACTTCATCCTCATTTACACATCTAATCAAAGAGTGTTCCATCTTTTCAATATGATACAATTTCCTTCATCCACAAGGTTTTTCCAAATATCCACAAACTCTCTTCCCTTTGGTTAATTGATGATTTTGGTAACAATTCTACGGGTACGGTTTTAAATAAGTTTACATCCTTAGTGCTCGCTAGTTTTGATAGCACATTCTTATACCCGTTTCCTCTCTAGGGATTTTTTTAGAGTTCAAATTTGTTGAAGTATAATGACAAGTTCATGAACTCCATCGATAAGCGACGATCATTTTATTTTGGGCTGCAAAAGAAGTTCATCTGATTTACCACTAACTATGAACTTTTTACTTCTATACTTCAAGCATGTATTTCCTTTGCCGATTATAAGCCAACTAATAAGGCTTCATATTTAGCTACATTATTGGTTGCCTTAAATGCAAACCTTAATGCATCGTTCAAATTGTGCCCTTCCTGGCTTGTCAAAATTATTCCTTTTCCGGCATCAATGTCTCGTGATGTCCATCCACAAATAACTTCCACATTCCCTGCTCAGGCCCTACCTCGAGAGTGGGAACATTTGAAAGTTACATATAGAATCTATTAACGCTTGTGCTTTGATTGCGGATCACTCCTTATTTTGAATTGTCCCAATTTTACTGCTCAATTCATCCGTCTTCTTGATATTTCAAGTTTCTGTAATACTTGCTTAAGTGAAAAATTAGTTAATACTTTGACAATATAGCTCTGAAGTTTGGTCACAATTTTTGCGATGCTACAACTAAGATGTGGGCTAGTTTTTCCGTATTCGAGTATCTTGCATCCATCCCTAGTAGAGCTTTGCTTACATAGTATATTGACCTATGATGCTCGGACTCTCCAAAAATGAGGAAGTATTCATGTCGACACGATATGACACGAATACCGACACAGGATACGGGTCGGATTCTTGGCTTTGAACTCGGACACGGCTGGAAAATAGAGAAGACAATGGAAGGTGGAGTATTGCTTCTGGCTTGCGGTTGTTTCGAGTCCGAATATAGTAATATGAAGAAATTTATGGACGAACGTAACATGGTAGCATCATTTACAAATTGCAGAGAGGGAAGATAAGAGTTGGAGAAGATGAGATGGGTTTGGGAAAGATGAAAGGTTTTGAGTATGTGTTAGATGAGATTTTGTGCAACCCAATGAATAGGTTAAGGATATAAGTAAATTAGATGGTTTAAAAGTCAACAATTCATGCAGCCATAAATTAGGGGTTGTCTCTAGTCTCTACCAGGTTGTATTATTTATTGTAATTGAAGTGATTTATTGTTTTATTTAAGATAAGATTAGTTTAATATTTAATTTTAAATTTGTTTAATTCAATAGTTTAAGTTACAATTATCCATTTTGAATAAATTCATAAAAATTGTAAGACGTATCCCCGTATTCATATTCAAAATTCGGATCCTTTTTAACTGTATCCCCATATCTTAATCTTTAAAATGAGAAGAATCCGACTCCTAGATATGTACCCGTATCCGACACCCATACCCGAGTCCAAGCAACATAGATACTGACAACTGTTACTGCCCTTCTTATTTTGTCAAGATGGAACTCACTGCTACTTTGAAAACTACTAAATATAGAAGTAATTTCCACTCAATGGCATGGCTAATAGGAGCGCCTTTCCTAAGTGTTCTTTCAAAGCCTGAAATACATGTTCACATTCATCACTCCATTGGAACTTTTTCCCTTCTTTTAACACTTAAAAGAACGAGAGCATTTGTATGTTACTCGTGATACAAATCTGCTTAAGGCAACGACCCATCTCGTTAATCATTGTACTTCTTTCAATTTTGTTAAGGTCGACATTTTGATAAGAATTTCGATTTTATCAAGGCTCACCTCAATACGTCGTTGCTTTATCATGAACCCTAGGAATTTCTGGATTTGATTCCGAAAGTACATTTTAAGGAATTGAGTTTCATTCTAAATTTTTGCGGTACGTTAAAGGCTTATTCCAAGTGTTTAAAGTGTCTTTTAGCTTGGAGGCTTTTGACAAGCATGTCTTTAATGTATACTTTCATTGTTTTACCTAGCTAATCCACAAACATTTTGTTTACTAATCTTTAATAGGTGGCCCCACCGTTTTTAGTCCAAATGTATTGCCCTATAACGATATAACCTTCGAATTGTTACAAATGCAGTTTGTTCCTTATCTGGTCCATACATGGGGATCTGGTTATATCCTTAACATGTATCTATGAAGTTTAATAGCTCATGTTCTTCAGTTGCATCCAATAACTGATCAATTAAGGGGCTAGGAAACTATCCTTAGGAAATGCCTTATTTAAGTCCGTAAAATCTTGGCAAGTTCACCATTTTCTGTTTCTTTTTAGCACTAATGCTAAATTACATAATCAAATCGGGTATTAAGCTTCCTATTTGAAATCGTTTACTAACAACCTGTCATTCCAATTTTCAATGCTTCATGCTTTTTAGCACTCACTGGTATTAAGCTTTTGCATTCTAGATTTTACCTCGAATCAATTTTTAGAGGATGACAAGCCACTTTAAGATCTATTCCCACCATATCAGCATATTTCTGTGCGAATACATCCAAGTTTGCTTTTAAAAAATATCTTTTAATAGGCTTTTCATAGGTTCATTCAATGTCTTGCCAATTTTCAGAGCATTGTATACTCTGGATTGACTAAAAAACTTTCCAATTCTTCAACTACGGTAGCACTATACATACAGACTACAGTCAGTTATACGAAAATCAATTGAGTCATCAATTTCGAGTTTTCTCCCATAATTACTCATCTCAACTATAGCAATTACATTCTGTTTGGGGGTACATAAGGCTCTTACTCTTAGGTCATTTTGATGGTTTCTCTTACTAGGCAGGATTATTTATAGATTTCTTTTAGGGTTATGGGGGCAATTTGGGTCTTTTTAGTGAGTGACAAGTGATGGTTATTTACGGATGGATTTATAACTGATTCCGTTAGATGTTAACGTTTTATTCACCAACTTACACGTTCTTCATTCATTAATCGTACTTACCTGCATGTGCTTTAATAATGATTTCTACAAGGGACATATTTTGCACTTTTTATCCGCGAGCTCTTATGGTTATTTTTTATCCTCGCCTATTCTTAGATTCGCATTAAAGGGTCATGAGTCATCCCCTTGTATTTTCTCGTTCGACACCTCACAAGGCATAATTTTCTTTTATCAATCCTGCATAATAACTTATTTTGAAATTAAACAACACAATGATCATATTTTTATTTATGTTTATTTTTTTCATGGGAGAGAGTTCCATGAATTAATTTCACAATGTGGAAGTTGAAACTAGAGGCTCCAACTTCAATGTTTCAGTTGTGCAATGCATTATGGTTCATGTCAATTAGAGACATGCTTCCAAACCCTAATTAGTCACCTAAGAATAGCTATGAAGTTTTCCTCAATCCGGATTGGGAAGAAAAAATTTACAAGCAAATTGCTGAGAGTTGTCCAGACATACCTATGGATTTGAAAACTAAATCAAGCGAAATGATAATTCGATGCAGTTTTCCTCCTGCCAGGGCAATTTTTCAGTACTGGCCAGCACTTTAGCAACGTACATTACCGGTTGTCTGCTTTACTTGTTCCATACTCTTGTGGAGCAAAAGCTGCTCTAACATTATTGATTGCCTCCATCTGAATATAATTAAATGCCACGAGAACATGTACATCAACATATATATGATTATTAATTCTTAATTCATTATTCAAAGGATTATTAAGTACAATGAAAAAGGGGATTGTGAATTTTCATCAACAGAGTAGCGATCAAGAAATACCTTTTATCAGTTGCATATTTACATTTGATGTAAATTTCACTATTCAAATCTGCATTGAAATAATTCATAACTATCGTGTTATGTCTAGTAGCCAACACAATCAATGCATAATTAATAAATGTCAAACTTCGCTTCAAACTTGTGAAACTACAGATTTTTGTGGTAGTCAAATTGCGAGCATGATGAATTACCAATCCTCATTACTGATGGAAATAGTTGAAAGCAATGTTGACTTCAGCTCCCCGATATCCTTGAGTAATTTCTCATTCTCAATGCTCCCACTTTCAATCTCAACATGCAAAGCTGCAGAACACAGCAACACAAATTACTGCAATGTCTCAATATCTCCACTATATCCAAACAAGAAAAATATAAGAGATACAATATCCCAGGATCACTATAAGCATAAGGTGGAAAATCCGCTCTGTTTTAGTTCATTCTCTTTCCCTGTTTTTGTGATTCCACTTTCATCTCTAGGATTGAGCGTTCTCAATCTTTCTATGCCTCTTCAGATGATATTCCTGTTGATGTTGAATAGGACATTTACACATTTAGCTACAAGAAGAGATGAATTTCTTGCTTGCTTATTCCTGGACAATCCTCGCAAATATAGAAAACTCTTCAATACTTGCACTATCTTCAATAGTTTCTTCTTTATTGACAATAGAAGCATGTTTCCGAAAGCATTTATAAACTGTTTAAATTATAAATATATAAAAATAAGGGGTAGATAAGTGAGTAGCAATTGTATGTCCCTCAAAATGTGTGGATTAAAGTGGCTTGAATATTTATAGATATAAGCTAAATATAGGTAAAGCTTTTTTCTATTTTCTAAATTAAAAAAATTTTAGATATTATTATCCCTAAGGTTTTAGGTCAATCTAAAAGAAAAATGTAAGCACATAAAAGAATAACTTAGCAGTTAAGTATTAATAGTTTTTCCATAGTGTTCTTCATCATTTTGCTAATGAAAAATCTTACCTTCAGAAAAGCTCGACAATATAGCAACAAATTGGCATTAACTTTCAAAGATCAATTGTGGTTTTATATCTTGTGAACTTCAATCATTTGAGTTCTTGATATGGATTGGCCATGGCCTTTCCTGTAATATCCACTAATTTATTTCTTTTCAGGGTAGAATAATATGCTCAATAACAAAAGAACAGACATTTTAATGCTGTGATGGAAATCACAAGATAGCAGTCTGAAATAAAAAAGTTCACTACTCGAGAGCAAAATGTGCATAAAAGAGACCCATCACCACTGCAAATTATTAAAAACACAAGATCGCAATCTCAAAAAATCTGAGATCGTAGGGAAAATTAAAATTGCAGTCCGCGCAACCTATTGGGAACAGAGCAGGTAGGTCCTCATCCCGTTATTTTAGTGGTTGCAGTCCTTAACCTTTTATGTTACTGAACTTTCCAGTGATACCTCCAATTAAAAAAACTGCAAAAATTGTTCACAAGCAGCATAATATTTATTACTGAAGGATTTATTCGACCTAATATACAATGTAATCCTTCGAAAGTGCTATGAGTGTGCTAAAGCTAAACAATTTGTCTCTTTCATATTAAAATTCAATTAAATTAATCACTCCAATTAGATTAGTAGCATGAAAATAACTTATCTGAAACGGATCAATCATGGATCTCATATGCGCTAAAATGATATTTCAGCAAGAAATGTCAATACATCAGCAAATTAATATTTGAAAAAATGAGGAATCTATAATTTGCTAAGACATGTATTAACTCTGACGTGAAATCAAGCATAAAAGTGAATTGTTAGAAGGGTAAATTTAATAAGTTTCACTGCAAAATGACTCTAGGAAATGTACCAAACAGGGGAAATAGTACTCAAATTCTCAGCATAAGAATATCAAAGTAGGTCATTTCCAAGCATTTATTTTTCATTTCCATCTTTAATTATGTGATCATGAAGAAACACAAATTACCAGAAATCGAGTTATGGATATCTTCAACAATCTCCTCCACAAATGCCGACACTGAACTTGCAAAAATGTTATTTTTCTTATCTAAAATGTGAACTTCATGTTCTAGAAACTCTCTCTCTGACAGCAAAGGCTTCAGTTCATCATTTTCCCTGCTATTAATGGACTTCTGAAAATCTAGGCATGATGTAATGAATCCTTCTCTGTGCAAAAACAGTAAGATAGATTTTCATGAGCTAGCCAAAACAAGTCCCAAGGCTAGTATGTTGATCATGCTCATTACAGGTATTTTGCCAAAATAGAAGGAAAATTCACTGCAGATATTCGTTTTCAAAGCAAAATTTTACTGTCTACAGAAACTGTATGGAAAAGAATGTAGCCCACCTACATTTTTTTAAGCATGCAAAATGTTGTTGCACAACAGAGATCCTAACTTGACCATGCAGTACAACTTCAAAGGAGAACATAAAACTGGACAAAAGGATGTAGATAAGAATGCAAATCCTGAAATGAAGTGTCAAAATAAAAAATAAATAAACTAATAAACAATGATGTTTCATCTGAAAGACTTGGAACTAGCCTAGTTTAAGTAACAATCATTATGAAAATGTTAATTAATCAGCAGCACATTTTCAGATCATACAAGAAATCAAGTTCCTGATTTATTTATAAAATAAAGCCAAACTTCTTTAACTTTTCAAAGCATGAGATACAAAAATTTGATTTATTTATATTTTTATTGGAATAAAATTACTGGAACTAATGGCATACCGTTTGTTATTCAATCTTTTCGATGTTTCATCTCGCTTCTTTTTTAAACAATGTACGCCATCCTCCATGACTTTCAGAGAGTTTCTTGAATCAGCTATGAGCAAAAACATAAGGATTGGAAAAGTATAGTGCAGTAATAACTAATGCACGAGAACATGAAACAAAGGTGCAAAAATATGTAAAAGGGAAGGTAGAGTGTGTTCTGTTCGTATATACCTGGTGAACTGGTATACAAATTATATTTTTTAAATTCACGTCATAAGTCCTAATGATACTTGAGTAGAGCAATTGTGACTCTCAGGCCTCCAGGCTCATTGCCCTCCCAGGCCACATTAAAAAATTTAGGTAAAACTGAAATATGTCAATGTGGCGCTATCAATAGGCGGCAGGCCTGATGCCATTTCTTCAAAGAAATCATTATATTCTTCTTTGTTTTAAATTTTAAAATCTTCTTCTAAAAGTTCCCAACCATCGTTTCATTGCCCAATTTCATACCAAACTCTACATCTCAATTTCACTCTATAAATTACATTCAATATTTTTTGTTATGTTCTTTTTGGCAAATATTTCGTAAGTTTATTGTGTTTAATTCTCACTCTATCAAATTTAGGATCATTCAACTTATATCTTTTTCAATAAGTAGATCAGTGAATTTGTAAGCCAATTGACTCTTTGATACAGAGCATAATGAGGAATTTGATAGATGACAATCTACTCCTTAAGTCTACATTAATTAAGATGTAGTATCTCATATGCATGAAGGATTGGAAAGACTTCACATTTAGAATGCAAGATTTGGATGTCAAGTCCATAACAAACAACTTCAACAATCTAGAAGTAATAGATTATGAGTGATAGATAATCATGCAAAATGTAAATTTTAAAATTCTTGACATTGACATAAATTGTTGATAGATAGGCCAAGTATGAATCTATATAATATATACTTCAACTATAGTGATGCTTCTTGTTGCAAAGTGCATCTCTGAACTATACCGTAAGAAATTCCATAATCAATGAAAAGGCACAACTATTGATCATTTGGACCTAGGTCTTCCTATTGTGTTGCCTAAGCCAGGGCCCCTTAAAGGTGGGTCATAATGGTCTGACCTGATTGGCCATCTATACTAGTGCAATAAATATTTAAAGTTGTGTGCTAATTGGCCATTTAACTAGGAGATAGTAATATTACAACTGTTTGAATCTCCAGAACCCCCCCCCCCCCCCCCCCCTTTCTGTTTTAAAAATGAAGTTATTAAACCCTAAAGATAAAGATTTTAGCCAACCAATACTTTTGACTCCTGAGGGTATTTTAATTGTCAACATTTTTGTTGTCATGTTTAGCTGCAGAATAACATATAATGATCTAGAAACACAACATGTTTATGAATATATTGAAAGGAAAGAGGGCAATCAATAACTTCTGGAAATGTGCTTTTTGGTTATATACTATACATGGCATCCATTAATAAGATTTTCTACAAGTAGGTGCCATGAGAGTTGATAAATCTAACCCAGCTTATAAATACTTTCCCATAAACCATGTGTAGAAAACTTTATATTGCACACTCACTATTGTAATGTGATCCGAATCTAGTAGATATTGAAGTTCTAGTTGAAGTGGTCATGGAAAGATCAAAATT